AAACCATTCAGTGTTCCCATGTTGTGTTTGAACAACTGCCTCTTGGTCTAGGTACAGATTCCTCATGAGCACAATTAAGTGTTCCAGAATACTCATACTTTGCAATGTTGTCCATAGCTTGTCATGAGCCACACAATCAAAAGCCTTTGCGTAGTCAGTAAAGCACAGACAGGTCTTTCTGATATTCTTTGCTTTTCAAGTCAAGATCCATTGGACATAGCAATGATATCCCTTGTTCCACAGCCTCTTCTGAATCTGGCTTGAACCTCTGGAAGTTCTCTGTCAGTGTATGCTTACAGCCATTTCTATATTGTTGTTGTTGTTAAATGCCGTCGAGTCGGTTCCGACCCATAGCGACCCTGTACAGTGTTTCCGAGGGTGTAAATCTTTATGGGAGTAGAAAGCCTTATCTTTAGTAAAACTTCACTCGCATATGGGCTATCAAAGAGATTGTCCAATGATTTTCGCATTCCATTGGGTCACCTCTCTTTGGAATAGGCATAAATACGGATCTCTTCCAATCAATCGGCCAGAGAGTTGTCTTCCAAATTTCTTGGCAAAGATGAGTGAAGGACTATCCAAATGTGAGGTATTGGAAAACTTGCTAATAATGTAAATCAGGTACATGGCACCCTTGGGTGAGACTATAAGGTATACTGTGTCCTAACATGGGGATTGGTCAGTCTTGCCATCCCATTATGTTTAAAATGAGTCATCTCAGAAGTGGAAAAGGGAATCACAACCATCAAGAAAGAAAAGCCAGGAGTGGTAAACATCCTTTAGACCTGAGTCTGAACCTCCTCCATTCAAGGGACAGAGCATTGTGGGATGGCAGGAAGTAGAACAGGCGCGAGACTGAGCCGTGGGCCCCCAGCCCATAGAGCGAGACAACTGAATGCCTTAAGGCAGGAGGCTTACTGGTTGAGTGGAGTGCCTTACACACAATTACTGGCTGAGATCTAACAGAGCTTTGTAATACATACCCAAGCAGGGCAGAGGACAGGGGGCTTATTGGCTGAGAGGCTGAGGACCAGGGATGCCTGAGAAGAGACTGTCCTGATTGTAGAACTGTCTCGGAGTGTTTCTGATTCTGAATTGTATACACCATGTTAACTTCCCTCATAAGCCCATAATCCTGAATATTGACTGTGAGTTCTGTATAGCCATTGCAACAGGTTAAAACCAACAGAGAAACAGCGAGTGCAATGGGAGGTATGGTTGGTGTCAAAACTGGTAAAAAGTTGGAAGGTGGAGGCATGTCTGACTTCCATCTCAGAGGAATTGGTCTTAGGTTAATGTTAATTTTGATTCTTTCTCCTTGTTGTGATGTCAGACAAGGTCAAACACCAACCCTACACTACTGTTGCAGTGTCCATCAGCAGAGGAATGAATAAACACAATGGGATACACATGAACTATGAAATATTGTTGTTGTTAGGTGCCATTGAGTCGGTCCTGACTCATAGCAACCCTATGCACAACAGAATGAAACACTGCCTGATCCTGGGCCAACCTCACTACTGCTGCCACGCTTGAGTCCATCGATGCTGCCAGTTGGACAAACCATCTTGTTGGGGGTCTCCCTCTTTTTCTCTGACCCTCCACCTAAACAAACATGATATCTTTCTCCAGCAACTGGTTCCTCCTGACAACATGTCTGAAGTATGAGAGACAAAGTCTGGCCATCCTGGGCTCCAAGAAGCAATATGGCTGCACTTCTTCCAAAACAGATCTGTTTGCTCTTTTGGTAGCCCATGGCACTTTTAATAGTCTCCTCCAACACTACAATTCAAAAGCATCAATTCTTCTGCAGTCTTCCTTAGTCACTGCCCAGCTTTCACATGCATGTGAGGTTATTGAAAATACCATGACTTGGGTCAGGCAC